AAAAAAAGATTTGCAAGTTTTTCTAAGCAACTTAATTACAATTTGCCATTTTAAAAGATTTAAAATAAAAACAACTAAACAAAAATAACAATGTTTACTCACTATTTCAATTTCTCATATAACTAAATTAAATTATTAACTATTAAATTCTTTTGATATTTTTAGGCAACAGTGAGTAGCAGAAAGAGAAAGCATTGTGTGAAACAACAATATAAAGAATTAGAGGGGACAACTAATGTTAAGATTGATTTATAGAAAATATTATTACATTTATATTTAGGTCTGTGGGACTAGTTTAAATATTTTAGGGTTTTAAAAAATATTTGAATGTAGTCGTGAGTTGTCTCAGCATTTATTGATGATGAATGTAGTCTTGAAAAATTAAGTGAAAGCCACACTTTTTTAAAATAAGTGATTTTGAAAAAACATTTTACATAGCCTTGCATCACATTTTTAAAATAAATAATGCAAAACAAGAAACATTTAATATGAAGGGTAAAAGGGAATTGTGAAGGGAATATTGAGGAAAAGAGGCATATATGCAAATAGTGTTAAATATTTCAGAGATTTATGGATTAATGCTGCAAAAAAAGTGAAGTAAAATAAAATCGTGGAGATAATGGCGGGTACTTTACAAAAAATTAAATTATTTGCATGTTGTAAAATTAAAGCTTAATTTATTTGATACTAGTGAGGACTCCTCTCATGATTCTGATTTTTATCCTGGAGAGTGGTTTGAAAGAAAACCTTTTCAACAAAAAGTCACTGCTGAAATTCCCATAGATTTTTTTGGTAGTAATGTAACTCTTATGGCTACAATGAATGACATTTCTCCAAGTGTTTGCATAAAGTTAAAGGTGCAATTCTAACTCAATCAGGAGCTGATCTGACAGATTTTAAATGTAGCCAGTTTACAGCAGTTAGAAAAATGAAATATGCCATTCGTAATATATGCATAATACCAAAAGAAGATGTTCAACAAGCAATGAATGAATCCCCATACCCATGCATAGTACATTTTGATGGCAAAACATTAAATGAACTAAATAAAGGAAAAACAATTAAAACTGATAGACTGGCTGTACTTGTAAATATTGAAGCTGAGACACATCTGCTTGGAGTACCTCCTTTAGCGACATCCTCTGGTGAAGATCAGTGCAATGGTGTAATGGACCTTCTTAAGGAGTACAATCTTGAAACTAAAGTAGGAGGAATATGCTTTGATATTACTGCAAGTAACACTGGGTTGAAGAAAGGTTCTTTAATAAGAATATCCAATAATATAGACAAATATCTTTTATTTATTGCATGTAGACATCATGTATAATGAATAAAGAATGGTTCATTTTTGTAATTCAGTTTCAGATGAACATTCTACAGGACCAGATAATACTAGGTTTAAAAAATTAAAAACTGTTTGAATGTCCTCATTTTAATTAGAATCAAACAGAACTAATAAAGTTTGATTGGAAAGCAGTAAATGGAACCTTTCTTGAGAAAGCTGCACAAGAGTCTTTAAACTTTTGTCAAGAATACACCATAAAGGGAAAAGAAAATAAAGATTTTATCAGAGAAGATAGAAAGGAGCTTGCAGAACTTGTTGTGAGTTACTTTTCTCTATCTTCAGTAAAACTAAGAAAACCCGGAGCAGTTTATCATGTTAGGTTCCTATCTAAAGCACTTTACTACCTAAAGCTTTTATCCAGAAATCAGGCTTATAAGTGAATTTACAGTTTGCTTTTATGCCAAATGGTATTTACAGTCTAATGACGCTATTAGAGCTTCCTTTCTTGATATAAAAGCAATACACCAAATGCAACAGTACCAAAAACTTTGTGCCAAAGCAGATGCTGTCGATGCAGTTTTAAACTGTCTATACAAACATAGTTGGTATTTTTGGTATTAGATTCAACAATGATTCCTCTTGCTCTGTTGGATGACAATTTGTCATTTGAGGAGAAAGCAAACCTTGCAAAAGTAATTCTAACTTTTAAAATGCCGATTTTAACTTGGTACAATACTAAAAACAAATCAAAAATAGATATAAAAGATAAAACAAAAATTGGAAACGTTAGTGAAAATCCTTCTTCCCTTGCTCTGTTGGTTGATGAATTTTTATATCTTATGTTTGATAGAATTGGATTAGAGGAACAAAGGATAAAAGATTGGCCTTCGCTTCCCCCTGAGTATTGGTTTACTCAATCTGTTTTTAAAAACTTTCAGAACTATGCCAAATCTTTAATTGTAGTAAATGATCATTCAGAAAAATCTGTTGGTTATTCACTGATACAACAATGAGGAAGATAAACAAAATACATTGCTAACTGTTGAAAAAGTTCAATGTGATTTCAGAACACCTGGAAGACATTCAAACAAACTTTCTGAAAGTAAATTTATTGAAAGCTTATCTTCTCTCGATAAAAAGAAGAAAAGTGGTGAAAATGAACATAAACGTATTTGAAACTATTTGAACTTGAAATTTAATCCAATAACATGAAACTATCATCAAATATTCTTACTCAAAATACAAAAATAAAAACAATTTTTGAAAAAACTATGATACCATGTGTTTTTACTCAAATATATAGGTAAAAATAAACAACCTGAAAAAAAAAATTTCGACTTTTTTGTAGTTAAATTTCCCCGCTGGACCTATGAAATCAACAATTTTTGATGAATTTTGAGAATTTTTTTTCTAAAAAAGTGCTTAGGGGGGGTAAGGATTGAGTGGTCCTGTTGAGCTCAAATTTTTTGGGAGTTGTTTTTTTAACATTTGCCCCAAATCTAGAGTGTATGGTATTTTAAAATCAAAAATTTTCTCAAATTGACTACCCCTAATATATATATATATATATATATATATATATATATATATATATATATATATATATATATATATATATATATATATATATATATATATATATATCACGGCTGTTTCACTCAATATAAATGCGAGCCTGATGTCACGAGTTTATCAAAAAAAAAAGTATTTCCGCATAAAAAGTATAAAAATTCATTAAATTTAAAATAACAGTATTTTTTTTCTATAAATGCTTTCATCTTCAAATAAAAAAAATATAAAAGATCTATCTTTCCTTGTTAAATAAACATTTACATTAAAAGGAATAAAAATGAAAGCTGTAAAAATATTGTTAATAATTTGGCATCACTTTTCTGATTTTTGCGATTTTTACGCAAAACCTGTCTTAGGCCAACTAAGATTTGATAACATAGCTACATGGTCGATGGTTGAAATTTAGAACAGTTATTAATGAATGTCTGTTCTATCTAGATTTCCACAGACTTTGCAAGTTTTTATATAGAAAGTTAGTTTTTAATGCATTTATATTTTTGTTTTTATTCGTTTTGAATAAAAAACATAACATTTTTGAAAAGTCTGTGGATTTAGTAATACTTCAACCTTATATGAATAAGAAAATCAAAAAATTATTTTCTGTACCTCTAGCTATGTTATCAAATATGTTTTCAAACTTGGCATGTTTAGCGACATTTTTTTTAGTTTTTTTTGCATAAATTCTTGTTTACATTTTAAAGCGGTGACGCAAACTCTGATCGTTACGTCCCCAACGATTATCGGATGCATTTTAAGAAAACAAACAAAACAAACGAGACACATTTTATAGAATAAATAACAAAGTTTCGCGGATTAATTTCTCTTGGATATTTGACTAATTTCAGATAAGTTGATGAATCCGATTTTATCTAGTGCATCTATTTGTCAATATTATTCTATTTAAGTTGTTTGTATTATAATTTTATTACTATATCAATAAAGATTATAAAGCAAAGTTTCGTGGATTATTTCCTCGTGGATATTCGACTAATCTCAGATAAGTTGCTTAATTCTTTTATTTTTAGTGTATTTATTTGTAAATATTATTTTATTTAATTTCTTTTATTATATTATTATTATAATATCATTATCATTATTTATGTGATGTATGCAACTGAGAGGGAAATTTTGAAACTGTACATCGGTTGGGAAGATGGTTGGGAAAATGAGTATAACTTTAATTTTGTAAAGCGAGTAATTGACACTAGTAAGATTACTAACAATGTGATTTCAATTTTATTAACAGTTTTTCATCCAAAAGCGTTGTTTACTTTTTTAAGTTTTCTTTTGCCAATTGAGTTTAATATGCCTAATATTGATGTGTTAAATAAAATGTGCCGAAAAATAAAACAAAGAAAAAAAGATTCTAAAAAGTATTTTGAAGCTTCAAAAAACAAAGCATTTTTTAAAATGCAACTGTCTCCAGCTCCACAAACAAAAAAACAAAAAAAATCAGCAGATGCAGATAATTTTTATATTTTAAATAGGAATAAAGAACTAAGTAGTCAAGTTGAACAATTAATTTCTGAAGAAAAAAATAATGTGGAGCAAATAGATAATTTAAAAATACAGGTATCAAAGTTGGAAACTGAAGTTATATATTTAAATTCTAAAAACAAGGCTCTCAACGCACATTGTAACTCATTAAGTTCTCAATTATAGACTATGAGTATTAGGCTAAAACAGGAGGAGCAGTTCCAACTTTTAAAAAAAAAAAAATTAAAAACAGCACACCGTAAATTTGCATCTGCTCGTGCCAAAAATGTAAGATTGCTAAAAAAATTTAAATTTGAAAAAAAAAATGCAAAAATCAGTGATATAAACAAGAACAGTTGCCAAATTTGCAAATATTTTGCTAGCAGTGATAAGGATTTAGTTGTCGTTGATTCTTATTTAGACTATGACAACATTGGTTCCTCTGAATTATTCTGTGGGTTTAAATTAAGTAATCCACAGACTATATCAGTTAAAAAGCCAATAGTTGGTAAGAAATATACTTACATTAAGTTAGGAGATGGTAAATCTTATTCTAAGTTAGGTAGGCATGCTGCAGCTAGACGATCTAAACTTGCTTTTATATTCCTTCGATTATTAGCTTGTTCAGATTTGGAAAGTGATTTGTCTATGTTGTTTTGTGATTCTGTGTCTTGTGAAAAGTCTATGTTTCATTGTGTTGCAAATAAGTTGGGTTTAGTTAGGCAGTTAAGTGTTTCTGATGCTGTAGAGCTGCAGAGCCAATTAAGGATGCCCACGGCTGAATTCCGTAGGCTAAGACGTATTCTGTGTAATCTTGGTGCAAGGATTCTCCCATCTGAGCCCAAGATAAGACAAGAACAAGAAATGCAGACAATGCATGTTAGTAAAGAACATGTTACTGTAAAGTCCATGTTGCTTTATCCATCTGCGAATGAAGCACCTTGTTTAGTACCTGTATTGATGGTCAAGAATTTGATAACTTATATTGAAGAGGTTTTCAATAGTCTGCACGTTCGTGACCACTTCAATTCTGATGTCGGTTTTTGCGAAGAGGTATGGCTCCTTTTTGCTGGGGATAAGGGTGGGAAGTATATGAAATTCCATTTTGAAGTTGTCAATTCTAAATCATCAGGGTCTGTATATGATGTTCATTTATTTTGTATGTATCAGGGTTCAGACTGTCGTGAGAATATTGCCTTAGTTCTCGGGCATTATGCCAACGACATTAAAAGAATTCAGTCGTCAGATTTTAAGCTAAAAGGCAAAATAGTCAGGTTGTTCTTAGGTGGAGATTTTCATTTTATCGATGATGTTCTGGGACACCAGGGTTCAGCTGCTAGCTTTCCTAGTTCTACAGACCTAGTTAAGTTGAATTCTCTAAGAAACCATGCTTCTATGCCTCACACACCTGCTAATTGTAACATCTTAAGGAGGACAATACAATCTCTGGAAAGTGCTTACAATGAGAACTTGTGTGAAGATAGACAAGGTGGAAACCTAAGAGCTCTAGATAAGTTTCATAATTCAATTATTGCTCCTGTGATTTTCCCCATAATAACTTTAGATAATGTAGTGCCACCTGTTTTGCATATTATGTTAGGAGTTGTGTTAAAACTTTATAAGTTATTGTTGAAGGAGTGTAAGACTTTGGATTGTCAAGCTGTTTCGTCTTTGTCGCATAATGAGAATGTGAGAACGAATGAATTGTGGGCTGCTAAAAGCTTTGAATGTTCTAAAACAGCAGACTCTTTACGTTTATTAGGAAATCAATTTGTAGACGTTGCAAATCTACAGACTCGTTGGTTAGCTTTTGATAAAAATATTTCTGAATTGGAATGCATATCTCTAAACTCCTCCAATAAAAAAAAAACCTGTAAACAGCAAGAAAAGTGTGCTAGTATCAGGTGTTTAATTACTAAATATGATTGTAACATTGATTGGGTGCAGTGTGGTACGTGCCAAAAATTGTTCCATCAATTTTGTGAAATTATTGGTGGTTCGGAAAAGAATGTATTGTGTGATATAGAGAAGTATGAGTGTTTAGCATGTCAGGGTGAAGATTTAGAATGTCTTGACCTTTATATTTCTGAAAAAATTTCTTTTATACGCGCACAGCGCGAAGTTTTAGACGTTGAGTATATTCGATTGCAGATAGAGTGTGAAGACCTAGAAAAAATATCTATAAGTAGCATGGGGACTCATGAGAGGTCTCTTTATAAGGCCCTTGAAGATATGAAAGTTGAGCGACAAGCTTACCATGGTAATGTATTTGTAGGTAATCATTGTAAAATAGTATTAAGAAACCACTATAAACTTTGTAGTGTTATTGATGATGAAGCAATTAAAAATAGATTTGTACGTGTGTTTAGTGTTTTTAATAACTTGCAACCTATTCTTTTTAAGCGAAAATTTCTTTCTGATGCCGAAATTTCTGAGCTTCATCAATATATAAATTTATTTGCTATTGAGTTTCATGCTTGCTTTCCAAAAGAAAGTATCACGCGAAAAATGCATGAACTCATTTTCAATGTGCCACTATTTGTAAAATTGCATAAAACTATTGGGTTGCTGAGTGAAGAGGAGGGAGAGTGTTTGCATAATAGCGTAAATAAGGAATTAAGGCAGTTGCATTCAGTTAGAAATCAGGAGCAAAAGCTGCATCTTGTTTTAAAACGCTTTGAATTGCACAGCAAAGCTGATAGGAAGCTTCAAGCCTCTAAGGTGAGAAAGTGTGTTGTGTGTTCAGAGCGTGGCGAAAATTCATTTTATAGACAAGGTCTTTGTCTTGTTTGTGGTCATCAAATTTAGTTTAAATGTTTGAAAAGTTAAAAAAAAAATTAAACTTTTTACATCTAAGATAAATTATATAAGATCCTTAATTTACAAATAAAAGAATTCTATTCTGTTTTAATGCCTGTAATGTTTGTTCAAAATAATAATAATTTTTTATTACAATGATTTTATATATTAGGTAGATGCCCATTCTGTTCCTATTTTCAAAAGTTTATTATATCTATGCAATGCCTTTGCTCAGGTTAAAGAATGGAATAAAAGTCTAGCATCAAATGTATAGCTAACTATTTTAATTTGTGATCAGAGCAACTGGTATGTTTGTTGGATATGATTTTGTATGTTTATGTAGTTAAATCAAAAAACGTTTTATCCTTTGTTATGTAATATGTAACATTTTTTATATATATTAGATCTCTGTTCAATTTTTATCATCAAAAGTTAGTTCTACCTTCGCAGGACCTCTGCTCTACATACCTCCTCTCTAGTTAAAGAATGGAATATAAGTCTCATTTATCAAGTTGGTGTAAAAATTTAGCTTGATAAATTAAGAAGTTGTAAACTTTATTATCACAATTGCCAAGTTGACCAAATGTTCTTCTGGTTTTAAATGAATTATGTATGGGTCTAGTATCATCTGGGTGTTCAAAGATAGTTTACTGCTTGAAGAACTTATCAATGGACCAACTAATTATAAAACAGTTTTTAATGAAAATAAAAACGAATTATCAAAAGATTTAAATCAGCTATTTGTGTATATTTAAACACTTTATTTTTTGTGAGAAGAGATTATTGATACAAGTACCATAAAATAATTCTACTACCAAAAGCTAGGTTAATTCAAAACCTTTAACTCAATTTTGGTCATGAATTATTTTATTAGAATTGATGAGTTTTTATTTATTAACTACCTAACACCATATTATTAGAACTTTATTTTGTAATGTAATGATTTTATCAGCGTTCCAAAATAATTTTCTAAATCAAGAACTTCTATATTAAAAAAAGTACTCATTTAACAACTAATCCCCCCTTATAACAACGTTTTTCATAATTTTGCGAAAAATGTGGTTTGCTTTCACAATTCGATTAAGGCTGTTTTAGTTAACCTTAAATAATTAAGTAAGGTTTTTTTGTTTTCATTATTGTCAAACAATAAGTGTATTTGATAATAACTATTAGGAATATATTTTTCTAATTTTTTTTTGATAAAAAGTAACATCAAATTACAAAAATTTAGCCAAATTCAATATATGTCATATTTATTCTAAACTAAAAGAAGTTTTTCTACTAATGCATTAAATGTTATAAGGTAAAACATTTTATTGATGTCTTAATTGTTTTTACAAAACAAAATTACCTCTTATATTTCAAAAGTTATAAAAGTTTTAGTAACACCCCTTTAGTCAATATTTTCAAAAATTAACAAGAAGCCGTTAAGCTCGGTTTGAAACAGCCGTGATATATATATATAATATATATATATAAATATATATAAACACACACAGTCTGAAGAACTAAATAGATAAAAATCAAAAAAAAAAAAGAACAAAAAAAAAAGGTCTAACAAAATTTTACATGGAATAATATTCTTTATTCTATTTTTCACTCTATTACTAGCACGGTTTCCAATTGTACAAGTTCCACTTGATTTTATTTGTCGCAAGTTCTAACATAAAAAGAAAAAAATATTGAAAAAAGAGCTGTTAGCACAAAATAATAAAGTTAAAAAATTGAATTCTAAATACCGAGAACTCCACATCAATAGAATCAATTTTGTTTTCCATAGCATTGATCATTTTTTTCAACCTTTCTTTAGTGTAATAATTAAACAACTTGCGCTCAATGTAAAAGTCATGACTATTATATACTTCTTTTTTTTTTTCAATCATAGCAACAACATGATGGGAGCTGTTTAAAGAGCTTTGAGATTTCTGTTTAAATAATGGTATCCCACTTGTTTGATGAATTGAAAAAGGGTTCTTATAATCTTCTGTCTCAAAATTGTAGGATTCAGAAGAACTGCATGATGGTTTAATCACACCTTCTTTATCCATTCCAGTGATGAGACAAACATCATCTTTGTCTTCCCATCCTACTTCAACTGGAAGATTTTTAAACTCATGAGTTTGTTTTGAGATTATATTTGACTGATTTGAAGATGTTTCTTCAAATACATTGTTTTCCTGGAATGTCTTAAAGTTGAATTCAAAGTTTGTGTTATCTGATAGACTTTTTTTTTCTAATTTTTTTGAATTTGGCTCTAGAATACAGCTAATATTAATTTTTTTATTTAAATTTAATTGGTTATGGGTTTCCTCATATGAATCAAGTAACTGCAGAGAGCTGTTAAATGTCAACTCTTTAGATTCCATAGTAGAAACATCTTTAGCAAATTCAAGTGAGAAATTTTTTGATAAACAGTTTACATTTCCCTCACTTGATTTCCCAAATTTTTCAAGATCATTTACTTGTCTGTTAGTGTCAGATGATGTTGAAGAACTAGTTGCAGACGATGTTGAGGAGCTAGTTGCAGATAAATTTAATTTAGGTACACTAGATTTAAGATTCAATAAACTTTTGGGTGGTCTATAAAAAAATATTAAAATATCAAAACTAAAAACTTAAAAAAAATATTAAAGTAATAATTTAAATTTTGGCTCCAAAAAAATTAAATAAAAACAAAAATAGTGAACTATGGTAGAAAGTAAGCTGATACATAATGGCTAAAGGCAATCATCAAGATAAGTAGGATGCATCCCTGACAAGTGATACTAGTTATTTTTTATCAGGCTATAATAATTTTTAAATCATTTATAATAATTTTTAAATTGGTTAAGTGAAGCGCTTAATAAAAAAGTTGTAATGCTCAAATTAAAATTAAATTAAATTGCTTGTTGGCAGTTTATTTTATTTAAATTGCAGGTGCGTTTTATTTATTTATTTTGTTCCTATTTTTACATATAAAAGAGTTAGAAACCTTTTTTTTTAAATGGACATTAGAGGATGAAATTATTAAAAATTACTATTTTAAAAATGTTACTTTTTTAAACAATTTTTTTTTTGCAACTTTTTTGAAAAAATAAATGTTTAAAAGATTTAAAAATATTAAATACAACACTTTTTAATAAATTTGATAAAAATTGTTCATTCATTAAACAATCGTTAGTAGTAATTTGTTAGTTTAAAAGCGTTTTAAAAGATTTATTTCAAACACGATTAAAAACGTAAAAAAAAGTTTTGCTTAGAGTTTAAGTTTTTGTTTTTTATTTTTATTATAGTGCTTATATAACTTCTTTTTCGTAAAGAATTTTTTTTCCGTTTCTTTTTCCATTAGGAATTTTTTTTTGTTAGTTTTAAACTTTTTTTCTAGTTTAAGTTTAATTTAGCATTTCTACATTCAGCACATTTCTAAAATGTTTTAATCATCTAAACATATAAAACAATCGTGGTCAAGTTGTCAAGAAATAAAATCATTTGCATGGTCAACAATAGCACTCGATCGCATGCCATTCCTATCTAAGCCTGTATATACATACATACATACATACATACAAATACATGTATATATATACATACATACATGTATATATGTCTAGAAAATTACCTACATTATATATTTCTTGGTTCTCTTAGAAAACCGATGTTGTAAAATTAATTGTGTCTAACTTTAACTGAAACTAACTCTTTACTAATTATGAAACCGTACAGTTTATCTTATAACGAATGAGTAAAAGAAGTTTTTTTAAATATTTCAACAGTAATTGCATACAAACAGCCATCAAACTTACTGAGATAATGTGCTCAAAATTTCACTTTACATTATCTATCAAAAAAATGGAGCTATTCAAATGTAAAAACAGTCAATGTAAAATCTGCCAGTTGTATTTACAAGAAGTAGATAAGTTTGAGATATCCAATAGCATTATTTTGAACATCAAAAGTCACATTACTTGTAAAAGAAAAAATGTCCTTTATTATCTAAAATGTTTATCATGTAATAGACTACTTATACTGGAAAAACAAACAGTTTAAGAAACCAAACATATATATTTCCAGCTCCAGAACTGGCAATTGAACAGATAGATTCAACAATCATGTAAATGATTGCAAGAACAAAACAATCCTTTACTAATTATGAAACCGTACAGTTTATCTTATAACGAATGAGTAAAAGAAGTTTTTTTAAATATTTCAACAGTAATTGCATACAAACAGCCATCAAACTTACTGAGATAATGTGCTCAAAATTTCACTTTACATTATCTATCAAAAAAATGGAGCTATTCAAATGTAAAAACAGTCAATGTAAAATCTGCCAGTTGTATTTACAAGAAGTAGATAAGTTTGAGATATCCAATAGCATTATTTTGAACATCAAAAGTCACATTACTTGTAAAAGAAAAAATGTCCTTTATTATCTAAAATGTTTATCATGTAATAGACTACTTATACTGGAAAAACAAACAGTTTAAGAAACCAAACATATATATTTCCAGCTCCAGAACTGGCAATTGAACAGATAGATTCAACAATCATGTAAATGATTGCAAGAACAAATCATTCCTTTTACAAGTCATTTTTCATTCCTTTCAGCTTTTTGTTTCTCTTGAACTAAAAAATTAAAAAGTTTTTTTGACCTATGAAAATTATTTAGATAAATAAAAACATGACACCTTCAACTAATACTTCCTTTCATAATAATATTACAATGGTAACTCATAGTTACAACACTACAACAATTTTTTTATTAAACACTTTTTTATATATATCTAAATTATGGTAATTATGGTAATTCTATTTAATATTTTAAATTTAAGAAACCTTTTGTTAAAAAATTCATTCATATTTTGAATATTGTTATTTTGTTTGGCTACTTTTTCCCCTCATATTGTTCAATATCAAATATTTATATTGGGACTAGGGAGATATGATTATTTTCTGCAATAGATTATTAAACACATCTATTACAATTTTTTGGCTGATTGCTTTTCTTTCTTCTTCATTTTATATTTACATACTTATCTTCTCTTATTATTACTATTATTATTATGTGACGCTATTATTATTATGTGTCGTTTATATAATTTTAAACACCATTTCAAACATCACAAGCCTTTTAAGGTCGTCACAGATTGGTACACTGGTTCCAGTTGTGTATTAGAGAGGTTTTCTTTTAAGTCAATTCAGAGATTTGTCTATGCATAGGTGTTTTATCCATTGTATTTTCCCAGAGGTATGACTACATTGTCAAACAGGTCTTTATGCAAGTAATGCCTGGATCAAGTCAGATCATCCCCAAGGGATACCTTGGATCAAATCAGATCAATCCTTTACAGGATCTGACTTGATCCAGGGCATCCCTTGGAAAGTTCTTATGTTAAAATTTTTCTATGCATGTGTCTAATCTATCATAAGCTCTTTGATATATGACTGGCACTTCCTGCATTGTCTTGGGTTTATATTATAGAACTGACCTCTGATTGGATTATACTAAAATATCATGCCTAAGTGCCATATTTGGAATCTGTAAATATAGTGATGTTTAGTGGCTTAGATATTCCACCTATTTATATTAAGGTATTATTTTGTCTGACTCTTCAATTCACACACTAATCTTTTACCTTTTACTAAAGAACAAAAGATTAGATATCTAACCATTCTGATTCTCATTTAACAGCTCTATAATCTTCAATCTGTTTTTAGAATCACAGAAACAATAAAGACAAAGAAATAGTAAACTGAGCTAAGAAATAAAGTATATAAAAACAAAAAAATAGTGAACTTAATTTAACTTTGTAATTAATTTCGCTTTAGATATGAATTATCCAAAAGCTTTTATTATGGTTTAGGTATGATTTAAAACCAGTTTAGATGCATTTATTTTACTTTTTGAATATAATAACAAATTATTTTATAATTTATATAAAACATAAATTACAAGTTTGTATAAAACTTTTATTGAAACTAATTATGTTGCATACCTAAAACACTCTAAAGTAACAGTTCCAGTCAATGAACGAAAAATAGAAACCACTTCTTTTTGGTTTGCGTGTTCAACATTTCTTCCATTTACCTAAAATAGAAATAATAAGGTTAAAAATAAAGATTTTGTTGTATTAAAAAATATAATTTTTTGTTTATAAAAAAGTGATAATATTTCTTTTTTTCCTTTAAAAAAGTTTAAAATTAAAGTTGGTTAAAAGCTAAACAAACAAAATGCAGGTGAATGCTGCTTTCAAATTGCAAGGAGTACCTTCAAAATGCATAACTTTAATGAGCAGATATTTACTAGCTGATAATTATTTGTTAGTAATTATAAAGCATTAATTATCAAACAGATTATAACTGAAAATTAGTAGAATAAAAAATTATTAAAAAGCTTTATAGGAATGCTTTAGAGAAAAAGAATGTTTTGATTATGAAAAATGTAATGTTTATTATCAGTATTTTTTTATAGTAAAATCTAAGTTTACCAAGTTGCTAAATTTTATTTTTATTTTATTAAACAAATATTTATACAAGATTAACATTTCAGTAAAAATTGTTATTAAACAAATAGTTAGCTACTAACTCATTATCTACAAAGTTCTTTTTCAAGTTAGCTACTAATTCATTATCTACAAAGTTCTTTTTCAAGTTAGCTGCTAATTTATTCTCTACCAAGTATTCTGCGATAAAGCTAATATCATTATTTAACAATTCTTCAATGACATTAAAATTCTTATGTGACCAATAAACAGTGTCATCTGCAAACTTTATTACTTCAGTATAGTATTGTGTTTAGTATAGAGGATATTAAAGGAATACACAGCGAGTATAAAAGAGATAAAGTAAAATAAATAAGAATAGAAGAAATTATAAAATATTCATTAAATGAAGCATTTTAATAAAAAATATAAGATAAAATGGTTAATATTACTATTCAATAACATTTTTTAATTTGTCTTTAATTTATTTTCTACATAAATGTTAATTTATTAGTCTTGACAAAAAATAACTTTGAAAATTATTAAGTATGTTGAATAAAATATCAGTATTAAACTAGCTGGCTGGACCTGTAAAATATGGGTCTTGGTGAGTCTATTTGACACTGACTATTTCTATACTTATTCTTTATTTATTTCAATATTTTTTAGTAAATGGAAAAATAATTCACTATAAAATTGCTCTTAGAGCAAAAAAATAAATATTTGTTTATTACATTATTAGTTTGCTTATACTTAACAGTCTACTGGTGTAAAATGTCTACAACAGGCTGTCGATCCATGTTTATTTTCTATTGCTTATCTTTAACAGACTCTCAATGAACTTTTCAATACAGTTGAGGTAGCAAAGTAAAATAATTCTAACTTATTACATCAAATAATTAATATTCAAAAATTAAACAATCAATAATAAAATGTGTGATAGCAATGATAAAACCGGGCTGCATAATTATAAAAATGATTTCAAAATGACTTTTAAAAGCACTGTAAATTAAGATAGCGATACTTCAAATGAACTTTTTTATGAAAGAAAGCGAAGTGTGTTTAATTTGGCAGCCAAAAATTTAATTTTACAACCAAAAAGATATACTGTGCATTATAGACTAAACCAATAACGGGCAGAGCCGGCAACATCTTGTCATTGCCTATCACATTAGAAAATATCACATATGTGTGATATTTGAGTATATTTTAGCACAACAATGTTAGAAAAAGAAACTAATTTGTAGTTAAACAGCTTTGCGGTTACTAAATAGTCCTTAAAGTCTTGTGGGTTCATTTGAATGACATAATGATAATAATTAGGATTTTTTTGGTTAACTTATTTTAAGATTCTTATAAATCCAATTGGACTGTTAAAATCAAGAAGAATACTTCATGCATAAACACAGCTGTTTCAAAGTGAGCTTTCTTCTTGTTATTTTTTTAAAATAATCACTTAAAGTTCCTAAAACTTTTATAACTTTTGAAATACTAGAGATAATTTTGTTCTGTAAAAAGATTAATAACACCAAAACAATTTTGTATCTTAAGAAATCAATGAAAACTTCCTTTGATTTTTAAATAAACTGATATATGTCATCTCTAGTTCCATCAACCAAAACTCATCACATATGTATAAGCATTCATTTAATAAAGGTGAAGAACGGGTCAGGTTAAATTAATAAAATTAATATTATACACATATATAACCCACATATACACACATATACATATATGCCATAATAATTTAAAAGAGCTTAAAATAAGATAAGATATATACTTAAATCAATAGAAAAATATAATAAAAAAAGATGAACATAGCTAAATTTCCATAATTTATTGTTACTTTTTATTTTAAAACAAAATACAAAAAATATCTTTTAGATATTTATTATCAAATATAAACATTTTTAGACAATGTAAACACAAATTTACGCAAAAAACTAGAGAAATTTGAAAAACATAACAAGTTTGAAAACATATTGTCTGACATAGCTAGAAGAACATAAAATATTTTTATGGTTTTAAGATGCATAAAAGGTTGAAATTTTAATAACATAAGTCATCCACCAAAAATATTATGCTTGTAATTAAAAAAAAAAAAAAACTTTTATAATATAAATGTATTAAAAATAAACTTTTGTAAATGAAATACATGGATGACATAAGATTCAGAAAAATTAAGCATTCATTGATAAGCGTTTTAATTTTCAGCAGTCCAGCATAAAGATAAGTCGTATGGATAAGTGTTTTAAGTTTCAACAGTCCAGCATAAAGAGAAGTCAATCTCAAAAGTGATCACAAATCATTGGAAATATTATAACAATATTTATTTTCATTCCATTTAATGTAATTATTTATTTAACAAGGAAAGATAGATCTTTTATGTATTTTTTATTTGAAGATAAAAGCACTTATAGAAGAAAAATACTATTATTTTAAAGTTGGTAAATTTTTATACTTTTCAGGCAGAAATACTTTTTTTTTTTAATTAACTTGTGATGTCAAGCTTGTTTTTATATTAATTGAAACAGTTGTGTAAAATATTTTAAATCTAGCCATGATCAAAATGAACCTATAAATTGTGCTATCATTATCAACATTTCAAGCTTTGAAAACTAAAGATTCCAACTTGCATAAAGAAACTAGCATAAAAAAAAAAGAAAGTATTTTCTTTTATGTCAGGATTTAGATAACTATTGAGTGGTTCTTTACCTACAAAATAAACGACCATGAAAAGCTTTTAAAGCCTTGTCCATAATGTACTCATTTAAAATGCAATATAGCAGTAGTAACCACATATATTGGTAGTTAGAATCTTGTTACACATATAGGGGCAATAAAACCTTGTTACACATATAACAGTAATTAGAATCTTTTTCACATACAGTGGTAGTTAAAATTTTGTTACATTATATATCTAAATTACAGTTTATGATATAATCGTTTAAGTTACAAAACTTAAAAGTAGCTAACTGCTTTAATCACAAAATTAAAAGTAACTAACATGTTTCTAACTACCATTATAATGGCAGTTAAAACCTTGTCATAGTGAGAATATGATTATTTTACTTTGACAAGATTCTAACTGCAATTTGGGTGTATTTATTTTATTATGAAGAGTAAAGCATTTTTTAGTAAAAAATAGTGATACTTATAATAAATGCTTATGTTTACATGGGTAAAAACTACTATTGATGGATTTGAATAGATTTTATTAAACTTTGATGGTAAGAAAATAACAATTTTTGACATTGATTTACTCAAAACTATTTGTGGATCATTTAGAATCTTGTCAAACCAATGTAGTATTGGCAAACTAGCCCATAAACATTTTTTGTATTAAAAACTTCTAAAAACTCAATGTGTATTAGTCTTTCAGCCGCCGTATTCACAACTCTCTGTTAAACTAACAGAGAATTTGAGTGTCCGTTAAGAAAAAAACTTTTAACGACCGGTTATAAAACGGAGGAAAGTTAATGGTATTCTAATCATTCTGTTTAGACTCCCTTTATTAACTACTCCGATAATTTTTTCAGTTAAAGTTTCTCCGTTAGCGAGCTCTGTTAACTAGTTTTCATGCTGTTTTTTTCATGGCATTTAAGCGTTGCGATGCCAACAGACAATAAAGCTGTTTAATTGGGAAATTATAGCCGTTGATTTTTTTATAAATAACTGCAGCGTATATTCTAAAAATTTAATTAAAACACGTTACAATATAAAAAAACTTTTATAATTTATAAAACAATAATAATTTTAAACAACTTATTGTCCAAAATGTCGCAAAACAAAATTATCACAAAATCGAAAGTTATTTTCAGCAACTATGTCTTCATTATTATTTTCATAATTTTCAATTGGATTGTCATCTATGTCCACATCATTTAACTCTTTTGCTAAATTTTGCAATACAGCAAACGCAGCAATTATGGTGCAATTTTTTTCTTGGGTCATTCGAACCTCTCCATGAAGCAAATTAAACCGTCTTTTCCACCTTCCAAACACTTGTTCAATTAAAACTCTTGTTCTTCTTAAAGATATATTATATCGACTCTGAGCAGCTGTAGTTGGACTTAGATGTGGAGTAAGCAACCAACGAAAACATGGATATCCGGAATCGCCAAGTAATAAACCTGCCATCTATCATTTTTTTACCAAGCTTTGATTCTCTTAAAATTCTTGCGTCATGTGTGCTTCTAGACCATTTTGCAAAAAAATATCAATAAACTTTCCATTATAATCACACACCGCTTGGACATAAACATATTCATGCTCGCGTGGTTTTTGTATGTAAACGTGCGTGCCGTCTATTAATCCAGTTATTCTTGGAAATTCTGCCACATAAAAATTACTCTGCTCTCATTTAAAACATGTGGATCAGTTGGGTACTTAATGTATTCATTAATTTTTTTGCAAGACTCAAAGAAACTCGGCGAAAAATTCTAGAAATAGTTGGTTGACTTAAAGCTGCTGTAGAATCACCAATTACAATTTGGAAAGACCCTGATGCATAAAATTGAAGTGCGCATAATACTTATTTCTCAACTTGTTTCTCCGCGCAGCGGCCTTGTTCGTCAAGGTTCGTGTTTCAGAGTTATAGAGTTTA